TTGTACTCCTCAAATCACATTCACAATTTGGCTACAAGGAAAGGAAACTCATTGATTAAAATATTATTTTGTCAGTAGTCTTAATGTACAAGAGACTTTAAGACTCCACTTGAATATTATAAAACTTTTATTGAACATTGTACAATTTCTTGCGTATTATAAACTTTTATTGAATATTGCATCTTATAATATAATATTCTCCAAATAAATATATCTCGTGCTTCGCACGTACTATATATATCCCGTACATTTTTCTTTATTCATGTATATAATTATAAGCCTGGAAAAATAGCCTTAAAATTGTACACCCCGTGCATCGCACGGGCTCTGTACTAGTTAAATTAAATTATCTATAAATGTTAATTGAAAAAAAAATTATTTATCAATTAAATAAATTAATCTATAAAGTAATTACATGATATAAGTTAAATAAATTATTGTAATATAAGATGGTTAAGTCGTACCGAGTGATGGGCATCATTTTAAATATAAATAATAAAATAATATATATATTTTTTAAAATTATCTGAAATTTAAAACAAACGCCTTTTCTTCATTATTTTTTAAATTTATATATAAATTTCTTACCTTACACATATGTAGTACAATAGAGTTGTACTAGTATTTATATAATATGTATGAATTGTTCATTAGCATGTCTATAGGAGTTTTTCTTTTTTTGTGTGTGTGTGTGTGTGTGTGTGTGTGAATTCTGGCCAAACTGATGTTTCTTCCCACAGCTGTTTCTTGACTTGTGAAGTGGGCAAAAATTTCAAGAATGACACACCAAATAATAGCGATGCAACAATAGTAATACCTGTCATACAGTCGAGCAGCCTCTTCTTGAGAGCCAACGGTACCCAAATGGATCTGTTTCTTGTCGACTTTGATGGCAGCTTGCCATTTCAAATTCTTCAAATACACACCTCTCATGATGCATGCCTCTTGCTTTTCAACTTGCTTCCTCCTATGACACTTTCTGCGTTTGATTTCTGAAACAATGGAAGAAAAAGTATTATTATTATGGTAACAGTAAAAATAAAATATGGTATGGATCAAAGCAAAAAGTTGAGTAAATATGATGAACTCACAATGCCACCAGTAGTGAAAATTAGGTCCTATATAAAGCAAAAATCAAATAGATCTCGCACTCTAAAACATAGTTCGATTACACTCGGGATCGACTACAAGTGATATAGTTCGAAATGTATTTTCGACTAGCACAAATTGAAACAAACATATATTAGAGAACTCTCTGGCTTTTCCCCTAAACAAAAAGCCTTAGTGTACAACTTACCCGAAGATTAACTATAACCTTAATTACTTAATCTAAATAGATATACTGACTACAGTCATGAACCTATGGTTATAGCAATGCAAACTGAATCACATCGGTATATAGAAAAATTATTAAAGCAACTTCAATAAATTCTGATCCATAACTTATACAAGGAAATCCGACACTAAACAAGAATATACTGCAATGTATGCACTAACAATTAAACATGCCTCTGCACAGTTCAACTTTTAATTTCGAGATAAGCAGACATTTTTAAGGTTAAATGTAATATATTATGAAGAAAGAAACTACAGAGATTAATACATCCACGAGTTACTAGTAGTAAGTAAAAACTCCATGATGAAAGCTTAGTGTACATAATAAGCTGAAAAAAAAATGAAAAGAAGAATTAATTTGAGCTGGCCACAAGATACAAGGACCACATCAATAAAGAACAGACCAGGAAATTGATGAAGGCCATGATATTTTGATGAATTTGAAGCAGAGCCATTTGAAGAACCTGACCCACTTTTCAAAGCAATGTCCTGTCCAGTAAAAAGAAAAGAGAAGGAGTTGAAATCCTATATTGCAGAATTTTTGCTGATAAGAAATACACATGAATATTGAATTATCAGAATGAGGTTCATTCGCGACAGAGCAATCACTCTCAATAATGAAAGCAACAATATCTGTGAGTATTGAGAAATTCATGTTTAACACAAAAAGTGTGGGCCCTTCCTACCATGATTCCTTAAAAAAATATGATAAATCAACTTAGAAATTCTCAACCATTTTCTCGTTAATTCAAACAATGCCGGTCAGATATCAGTTTATCAATTAATTTTGCTCCACAAATGTCACATTTTCCGAACATAGCAATTAATCGTATCAAAGAAACAAGTAGATCACAACATGAATAGGACCCAAATGATATATACGAAATCTAGTGAACAAATGTATGCTTACTTCTTCTGGCTTGTAATCGTCTTTTGACGGAAGAGTATGAACACTGATTGGTTTTGTGTTCTCTGCAGAAATTTGAGGAGTGTTAACCCATGAAAGTTGAGCCAGAAGAGAATTTCTACCTGCGAAACGAATTTCACTCAAGGCAACTGAGAATTTAAAGAACCAAGCAACATTATCGAGTATACAGATAGAGGCTCAATCTTTACAGTATTATAATATGTAATACATGGTCTCAATAAACATAGCCCATTTCAGTTGGAATACCAGAACACATTGCTAAGAGCTTCCGTCTTCGAATGCTCACCATTTCTCTTTTCCAGTTTTCCAAAAAGCAAAAAAATCAAGTTAGCTACACTAAAAAAATATTTCATAATAAAGTAGGAGCTGGATAAAGGAAACTAAAATACTCCCCAAGTAATGAAACTACAACAAAGAAAAGAAAAAACAAATAGTCTGCAATATCAACAAATGGTACACAAGTTAGGAAACTATTAAAGGATTCCGAGTTTTGCTTCCAGATATCGGCAATATGAAATGACGACAAGGGCATTCTTTGAAATCATTGCATTGCAATCAAAGTTACAGTTAATGATTCCCAGTAAAGTGCCTTGTCAGGAATACTATGGGAAGTATTAGGATTAACCTTAAATTGACCCAAACTAAAAAAATAGTGAAAGTTGGAAAACAAGAATATGAAAAATACCAAGTCTAGTATAGCAATATTGCTAAACAATTGGGCTTGAAAACTGAAAATCGGTAAACGGTTAATTTTAAAGAAGGATTCAATGGGTTAAATTTTGTAATAAAAGGAATGGCCAAGTCCAATCTTACAGAAGCTACAAGCCCAAAGGTGACAGAAATTTTGAACCCCAAAACAAGCCTCAACCAAAAGATAACAGCAAACGTACAAATTTTCAAGAACTACAACAGCTCATCAACCTAAACAGAAAAGAATTTCATGAAATCTAAACCAATGCCCCCCCAAATTCATAATCCCCATCAACCCACCAGCTTTCATGATGGCCAAGAGGAAAACAGTGAAGAACAAAGAACCGAGCAAGCCAAAAGATGGAAAATCAAATAAGCTCCAACAAGCAATCAGAGTAAAACCCAGGAAGAAAAGAAACCCC